TCCCAACCTTGGCGATACCGCCCCCTAGTGGTCGTTAAAATTCAGGGGGGCAGTAACCATTGAGGGGGCGGACAGAAAAGTTTGAAAATTTCAAAGTTGCATTTGTTAAAATTAAACCATAAGAATTGACTATTATTGCCTTACAAGTTTCATTTTAGTGAAATATTTAAATGGTATAAACATTTATTAGATGGGGGCACGAGCGCTTATTTTTTGTTGAAGGGGGCGCTGCGGCGATAAAGTTTGGGAAGCAATGATTCAAACAATCTGGTAATGATACGGCATATAGGGTGAAACACGTCTACATATATTGTATAAAAGATAGTATTATACCGTGACCAGCTGAAAAGAACAGTTTTGAGCTCTCATTAGGCTTAGCTATGTTAATGATCGGGAATGTCACTTTATACACACTAGTTATTAAATTTGTAGGGGCACTTAGAATAGTTTAGGGCGAAGGATGTTATTATACGGGCGAAATGTTTTACATATTTGCACAAGGAGTCGAGAAGTGAATGCTACTGCTATCTAGAAATAGCACGAGCGGCGTCAGTATAACACCTATTCAATGTTGCTCTGACCTCTGTCACAAGAGGAATTTTTTATTTAACAAGCAGCTGTCGTGTTATGGTGATGGATAAATTCATACAAGATGTCCCATAACCAATGGTCCGCAGGGGTGGGGTCGGGGAAGCATGGTGACCAGGAACGACAGAAGCGGCGGCGGAGAAACTGGTACTCACCCAAAGCCTCCGTGAACAATGGCCCCCTATCTGGTGTTGACCCTGCAACCTTAAGTGCTGTAACCACCTTGTTCATATAGCCAAGCGATCCGTATTTAACATTGTGACAGAATAACAATTGTCTGTTCCACCATGCCAACCTATCGTACTTATAACCATGTGGGACGCCCCCTAGCGGAATTTCAAGAAACAATATACATGATACCTTATGTAAGCATACAAAATGCTTTGTTTGTATGTTACACAGTTCGCTTTGCAGACGGTTACAAGTATCCAGAATAATTTTGTAACCACCTTATATGTCTCGAGGTGTGGGGCCCAATTAGCCACTCCCCCCCCCCGCGATGGGTAAGCAGTAAGTCCACGGACTTACAATGCTAAAATACGAAATACGGGGTTAGGGGTCGGAGTCTCCGCGGTGGACACAGCAGATAGCCCATTG